CCGGGTTTCGGCTCAGTAGAAACTGAGGGGGGTATGTTGGAGGCAGCTGATTGTTGTTTCTCTCTCTCCCTCTCCTTTCCTCTCTCTGAAACCAATGTCTTTTAAAAAATGAGTAGAAATTAATCATCAGGGAGAATAAAAATAAACCACAATGATATACTACCACACGTCTGCCAGATTGGCAAAATTTAAGTGTATTGACAATAACGTATTGGCGAGGATGTGAAGAAAGAGAACTCTCATTCAATATGGTGGGAGAGTAAATTGGTATAAACACTTTAGAAAAAATGTTTATGAATATAGTAGACTGAAAAATGTCCCCCAAAAGATGTCCATGGCTTATCCTATGTGGCAAAAAGACTTTGCAGATGTGATTAAAGTAAGAACTTAGAGATTAGCCTGGATTATATGGGTAGGCCCTAAATGCAATCACATATATCCTTATGAGAGGGAACAAAGGAAGATTTGACACAGAAGAGGCAATGTGACCACAGAGGCAGAGATTGAAGTGATGTGGCCACAAACCTAGGATTGCTGGCAGCCACTAGAAGTAGGAAGCTGCAAGGAACAAATTCTTCCCTAGAGCCGCTGAAGGGAGTGTGGGCCTCCTGACAACTTGATTTTGGCCCAGTGAAACTTGTTTTAGCCTTCTGGCCTCCAGGATTGTGAGAAAATACATTTCCGTTGTGTTAAGCCACCAAATTCGTGGTAATTTGTTATAGCAGCCCTAGGAAACTAACAGGCAGTATCTACCAAACCTGAACATACTTGTACCCATGTCCAGCAATTCCACTTCCAGAAACATTTGTTCACCAAGAAACATGCAGAAGAATGTTCCCAGCATAATGTTCACAGTGATCAAGGGGGTGGAGCTCTCTCTGAGTTGAGGCTACAGGTGTGAAGGTAGCGAGGGCCTGCCGGCCTGGAAGGCAAGTGCTGGGAACAGAGTGTAGGATATTAGATTTTAAACACAGGAGACAGTATTGGGTTGTGATGAGAGCCAGATCTTTTTAATTTGGGGCCCAAAGAGTCCTGTGTTAGAATCCTGGCTCTACCACTTGGCTAACAGCCCCGAACTGGAAACAACCCAAATGTCCATCAACAGTGCAATGCATGGGCTACTTGAGTCAACTAAAAATAAACTCATGGAAGAAACTCACACACAACATTGAGAAAAAGAAACCAAACACAACAGTAAACATATTTTATTATGCATTGATGTCAAGGGCAAAAAGAGATAAAATTAACTATATCATCGAGTGCTGTAAAACTAGAAAGTTAAAGAAAGGCGAGAAATTATTACTGTCAAGTATCTGGCCAGGTTGTTCAGTTGGTTTGAGCATCGTCTCAATACACCAAGATATCTGGTTCAGTCCCCGGTCAGGGTACATACAAGAATCAACCAATGAATGTATAAATAAGTGAAACAACGAAGTTGATGTTTCTCTTTCTCTCCCTTCCTCTGTCTAAAATCAATGATTTTTTAAAATTATTTTTCTTACAAAGAAAGGATTGCCCTAGCTGGTTTGACTCAGGGGATAGAGTGTCAGCCTGAGGACTGAAGGGTTCCGGGTTTGATTCTGGTCAAGGGCACATGCCTGGGTTGTGGGCTTGGTCCCCAGTTGGGGGGCATGCAGGAGGCAGCTGATCGATGATTCTCTCTCATCATTGATGTTTCTATCTCTCTCTCCCTCTCCCTTCCTCTCTGAAATCAATAAAAATATATTTAAAAAATGATTACTGTCAAAGTTAGGATAGTGTTCCCACCTAGGGAAAGAGGGGAGTTGTGATCAGGAGGGAGCACATGACAGAAAGGTGGCGGGCTGGGGGTTTCCTGGGGTGCTGGTCATGTATTCCTAAACATGAGAGGCACCGGTATTTTATAACAACTGTGCATTAATGTTTTATGCTCTTTTCTGAATATTATAGTCTCAATTAAAAGGTGTCTTGATACCCTAGCTGGTTTGGCTCAGTGGATAGACAGTCAAGGGCACATGCCCAGTTGCGGGCTCGATCCCCAGTAGGGGGCATGCAGGAGGCAGCTGATCAATGATTCTTTCTCATCATTGATGTTTCTGTCTCTCTCTCCCTCTCCCTTCCTCTCTGAAAACAATAAAAAATATATATTTTTTTAAAAAGATGTCTTGGTGGTGATGCTGGTATTAATTTTTAATAGAATGAACAGGGTGCTTCTCAATCCATGAAGCCTTCTTGGGTCCCTCCACTTCATGTCCTCGGGCTCCTCCAGCCTCTGCTGCTTGTGCAGTCACTGACCACTCTGGGCGGTGACTTAGTGTCCCAGTCTGGCTCACCCACAAGAACAGAAGCCAGAGCACAGTGTAGAGTCCTCTCAGGGTTCCCAGCAGAGACCAGCCCAGGTGCTCCCATGCCCCAGACACTATGGGCCTGCCTCATGTTTCCACTCGTCAGGACCATGTCTGCCTGCCAGCATGTGGCAGCAGATGACTGCAAATGCAATGAGGGCGGCTGACTGCATTGCCACTTACCTTTGACTCTGCCATCTCTCTCACATCCCACTCAGGAATGGTCCCTAGGTTTAAGTGAGGTTCTCTGCCTGGAATGTCCCCTCTCTGTAATTCTGTTGAACTGCTCATTTTTCAAGAGCCAGCTGCAGGATCCTCTCCTCTGTGAAGCCATGGCCTGCCTTCCTCTGGGCTTCCACAGGCCCCTATTTCCCTGGGCGGCAGCCTGTTCAGGCCCTCCCCCACACATCTTTCTCCACTTCTGAAGCTCTGTGATCTCCCTGGGTTGTCCTTAAGACCTGGATCTGACCCATTTCTGGGCCTCAGGGATCTGTGGGAACACACACACCCAGCGTTCCACAACGCCTGGCTCAGGAAGGTTCTGGAGGCAGGAAACACTGCCTTAAGGTTCCTGCCACTGGCATGCACTGCGCCTGTGCACGGCTCCCAGGGCCTCAGTTAGGATCCCAGCCCACCGGTATGGCTCAGTGGTTGTGCTTCGACCCATGAACCAGGAGGTCCGGTCAGGGCACATGCCCAGGTTGTGGGCTCAATCCCCAAGTAGGGGCTTGCAGGAGGCAGCCAATGATTCTCTCATCATTGATGTTCCCTTCCTCTGAAATTAAAAAAATTAACAAAATACTTAAAGTTAGGATCCCTTGCTTCCCACATGTATGCATGTGCTAGCGAGCAGCATGAAACCATGGAAGGGGAACTTAAAGGAGGCGGGGAGTGTGGGAGGGGCCTAAGGAATGGCACTGGGCTGAGGCAGGCGGAGGGACTTGCTATGTGGAACTAAAATGGAGGACAAGCCTCAGTCTAGTTCTGTGAGGGGGCTGGTGGGGCCCATCACCCACTAGGGGTGAAGACAGGCACCATGGCCTGAGGGAGAGGCGGAACCTGGAATTTAGCCCAGCCAACAGGCAGCAGTTCCCATCCTTCAGTACAGTAAGTTCCAGGTGAAGTTGAGACCCAAATCTGGGAAGGTCCTCAAAAGCCAAGGAGAGTCCCACAGCTTAAGTGAAGGATAAAGAACGCAGAAGCTCCGGTCTCCCTCCCACTCTAACTTGGTCCTCTAGGGGAGAGCTACTTCCACCTCAGTGCTGCTTTATCCCTCAGGCAAGCTACTTCCCCTCTGAGCCCATTTACTGTCTAAGTGGTATCAAATCCCTACTTCACACAGGGGACTATTAAATAGATCTTAAGTAGGTGCCCAGTAGACCTTTGCTCCCTCCCAGAGAGGGTGCAGGGACAGTCTGGGGTCACACAGCAACTAGCTGGACCAGGTCTTGGACAGGACTCAACTCCTAAACTTGCCACTTGATCCTCAGTACAACACAGGTCAAGGGTCCAGGACAGGTCCCCAGGTATGGGCAGGTCCATCCCTTCCCCCAGGAAAGGCCAGCAATCAGAGCCCCTGCCCACCTGACCCCCAGCTTCCAGTCCTGGTTCCCTTCCCCATCAGGAAGGAAAACCCTGGGTATTGTGTAAGAAACTTGAGTTCCTAAGCCCATAAACAAAGGATGGGGCAAGAGTAGGAGGCCACAGGGTGGCAAGAAGTAGTATTTGGCCTCAGGAAGAGGAAGAAGAGAGATCCACATTTGAAAAGGTGACTGTTTAGAACAGTGGTTCTCAACCTTCCTAATGCCACGACCCTCTAATACAGTTCTTCATGTTGTAGTGACCCCCAATTTCATTGTTACAAATTAAACATAATTAAAGCATAGTGATTAATCACAAAAACAATATGTAATTATACAGTGGGGCCTTGACTTACGAGTGTCCCAACTAACGAGTTTTTCGAGATACGAGCTGTCTCTCAGACGATTTTTTGCTTTGAGTTGTGAGCTAAAATTCGGGTTACGAGCCAGCTTCAGATACCCCACTGCTAGTTGGCGCAGCGAACATCAGTGAACGCCACAACATCAGCCCAGCATCACGTCTCACTCGTTCACTTTATGATATGACATACGAGTAATTTGAGTTACGAGCTCCGTCACGGAACGAATTAAACTCGTAAGTCAAGGCCCCACTGTGGATGTGTTTTCCGATGGTCTTAGGCGACCCCTGTGAAAGGGTCGTTCAACCCCCAAAGGGGTCGTGACCCACAGGTTGAGAACCGCTGGTTTAGAAGGTGTGATAGGTAAGGAACTATGGAGAAGGGTTCTAGGCAGAGAAGCCTGGCTGCTGATTGGTTTGGTGTCCAAACCTCTGAGCTCCATCAGCCTTGCAGATGGCTGGCCTATGTCACTGAACAAGTTAAAAATACACTCCCAAGAAGCAAAGTATGTGTGAGTGGGGCTGGGAGGGTCTGTGACTACAAGGCAGTATTTTGACAGATAAGGAAAATGAGGCCCAGAGAGGACAGCAAGCCTGTGGTGGCAACTGGCAGATGACCCAGCATCCCGCTCACCCTCCAGCCTGATACTGGGCCAGCAACTCCAGGATTGGTACTAGGCCCAGGCTCTCATCAGCTCCTTCCACAGCCCATTAAGTAAGAGTCCCAGGGAGCCTTGATGCCCACCTATGCCCCTTCCAGGGCAGTTTTATTGGTGCCATTTATAAAATACCTTTCCCATCAGCCCCCAAGCCTTTGCCTTTCCCTTTCTGAGAAGGCAGCTGACTTCTGGTCCTGGCCCCATGGCCAACAGCAGCACACTTGGTCTGATCCTGCAGGCACACACGTGACACTCTGGGGGTAGTCCTTGTGCAAGTCCGTGTCCAACTCTGGGGAGCAGGATAAGGTGAAGGGCCAGGTCTGTGTGTGGAAGGTGGGCAGAGCCCTGGCTGGCTGTAGAGATGTGTGGGCAAAGTGAGCAGGCCCCATGTGTGCCCCAGCTCCAGTGCCTGGTGTGGCTGAAGCCCAGGGTTGGGGGCGATAAAATCAGAGATCCTGAGAGAAAAGCCCTTAGGCCAAAGAATTGTGTGGAGCAGGCCAGGACAGGAGCCCAGGGGAGACTTCCATGGGGCAGTGTGTGCACACAACCCAGGGTAGGGAACATAATGTGCAGGGGCCTTTGGTGACTGTGTGGCTGCCTCCTTCCCTTGGGACCTGCATGCCTGAGGCCCTGGCCTGCTGGAGCTGAAGGAACACACTTGAGGGTCGGGTTAGGGGGAGGGGGTTCGGGAAGGAAACTCAGCTGGAAGTGGTTTAGGCCTCAGAGCCCACATCCTGTCAGAGGAGCTGTCAAGGCGCCAGGCTGTCAGGGGGGCCTGGCCATCTGTCTGTCTGTCTCAGTCAGAGCTGCTGGAGTGACAGTCCCCTAGGGGCAGAGATAGTCTTCATCCTCCCGAGGTGAAGGTGGCCCAGAGGCTAGGAAGTGGGGTCAGTCCTGCCAGATCCAGGATCAGGAGGCCTCCGTTGGGCGCCGTCCCCCCTCGTCCTCCATCAGCAGCAGGCGGCGCCGGCCAGCCTCATAGTCAGCCTCGTCCACACTGACCAGCAGGCGGACAGCCTCCCGGCCCACAGCCTCACGCAGGGCCTCAGTTAGGAACACACCCCGCAGGGCCTGCAGCAGGGCACCACTCAGGTAGTCCCCCCAGAAGGCGTCCAGATAGGAGAGCTCCGAGAACTTGATGTCACACACCACGGAGCCCAGGTCTCGGGAGCGCAGCACTGCAGTGGCCTGCCCGAACACATCTAGCTGCCGCGCCAGCGCCTGGGGCCGCCGAGATGCCACACCTTGCTCCAAGGCTGGCCCATGTTCGCAGTACTCTGCTCGCACCCTGAGCCGGATGTCTATGGAGGAAGAGGAACTGGTCAACGAGGGGCTGACACCTAATACACTGCACAGGGGGGCCGCCACTCCTCCTCCCTCCCTTGAGCCTCCTCTGCAGGCTCCTCCCACTACCCTGTGGGTTGCACTGCACCTGACCCACATCCTTCCCACTTCTGGTAACCACACCCAAGTATGGGTAACACCCTCACACGGCTTCCCTCGTCTGGTCTGGCCTCTTGTACCTCCTGACCTGGTGCCCTCCTCTTCCCCTCATGTGCCCCAGTCCAGCCTCACCACCCTCCTTGCTGCGCTCCCGTCCAATACTGCCAGGCAGGTTCCACCAAGCCCTGCTCTCTGTCAGCCGGGGATGCTCTGTCCCCAGTCTTCACAGGACTTGCTCCCTCACTTCCTTCAAGGTCTTTGCTCAAATATCACCTTCCCAAAGAGGCCCGCCGCAACCATCCCATTTTAAACTTTACAACCACCACCCTGGCCTCCAGCATTCCCAGATCCCCATAACCTGCTCCATTCTTCCCAAGGTGCTTACACCACCATCTTACCTGATTTATGCTTTCCCTCCTGTCATGTTATCACCCATATCCCCACAATGTGAAAAACAGATTTTAGTCTGTTCTGTTCACTTGTATAGCCCCGTGGCCCATAGTAGTTGCTTATATATATTTATGAAGGAATCAACGCATGAATGAACAACTTGCCTTTAGACAACTGGCCTCACCCCTCTCTTACCTTCAAATAATTGAGATTCACGGGGAGCCAACCACATCCCCTATCCTGCACCTACCAAGCAAGCACCAGACCCAGAAGACTTGAGGCTGGGGCTGGGCTGGTTTTATTGGAACCAGGTGCTCTCTTTCCACAGAGGCTGCTAGGATGGTGGGCTGTAAGCCTGGGGCTGCTGGGGCCACTTTGCCCCCAGGAGGGGAGAAAATGAAGCCCACCCAGGGCCAACGATAAGAGAGGGAAAGACTCCTGAGCTCATCACATGAGGCACTTTTTTTCTGCTTAAGTGAGTTTCTGTCACTTACAACCCTACCCTCATCCACCCAAATGAAATGGCAGCTCTGTGCAGTGGACAGGACATGGGACTTCTAAGGTTATCCTTATAAATGTGACCCCGGCATACCACCTCCCTTTGGGATTACTGAATTTGCACCTGTGAAATGGGGCTGCTAACAGAACCTCCTCTTCACAAACGGCACAGGCTGTCCTGAGGACCAGCTATAAACTATAAATAACAGCAGTCCATACCACAGCGCACTGACTACCTGCAGGGGCCACTCCAAGTGCTAGGCTCCTATGAACTCACTGAATCCACAAACAACCCTGTGAGGGAGGCCCTATCCCACCCTCCACCCCCCACACCCCCACACACACACACACACACTGTAAAGATGAGGAAATGGAGGCAAAGAGAAGTGCACAGACTTGCCCAAAGTCACATGGCCAGGCAGTGGCAGCACATGACAGAGGTTGCTGAACCTCCCATGTCCCAGAGAGCAGCTTCAGGTCAATGGAGCCGATTCCAATCCAGGCACTAGCTGTGTGACCTGGGACAAGTCACAACCTCTCTGAGCCCAGGTCCTTGCTCACAACAGAGGGGACAATCTCTGTTGTGAAGGGCCGTTAAGAGGATTAAAAGGAGCAAAGAATATGCCCTGGCCAGTGTGGTTCAGTTGGTTGGAGAATCGTCCTGTTCACCAAAAGGTGGCAAGTTTGATTCCCAGTCAGAGCACATGCCCAGGTTTTGAGTTCAATCCCTCACTGGGGCACATGTGGGAGGCAAACAATCGATGTTTCTCTCTCTCCCTCTCCCTCCTTCCCTCCCTCCCTCTCTCTCTCTCTCTCTATCCCTTCCTCTCTAAAAAAAAAAATCAATAAAATCAGCCCTAGCTGGTATGGCTCAGTAGATAGAGTGTTGGCCTGCAGAATGAAGGGTCCCAGGTTCGATTCCAGTCAAGGGCACATGCCTGGGTTGCGGGCTCAATCCCTAGTGTGCGGCATGCAGGAGGCAGCCTATCAATAATTCTCTCTCATCATTGATGTTTCTATCTCTCTTTCCTTCTCCCTTCCTCTCTGAAATCAATTTTAAAAAATTTTAAAAATCAATAAAATCTTAATTATAAAAAATAAAAAAAAGAAACTAGCTGGCAAAGTGCTCAACTGGTGCTCCAAGAATGGCAGCCTCCAACAGCTCCAATGTGCTGAATGCTTTACCTCTGGGGATCCAGTAGGATTAGCAGGATCAGCCCTGTGGGGCAGGAACCACATTGAACCCATATGGCAGAGGAGGAAACTGAAGCTCTGGGAAGGGAAGTGTCATATCCCAGACTCTCTTCACCTTTCACAGACAGTGTGAGCAGCAGAGCAGAAAGTAAAAGGCAGGTCCCTGCTCCCCAAGATGTCTTCTCAGCACCACCCATTTCCTCCTACCACACAAACCCCAAACCCTTCCTCTTTCTGCCTCAAGGGGAACCTCACCCTCTCTGCTCAAGACCCAGGGGAACCTACCTGGCCTCAGCCCCCACAACCTCCCGTTCAGATCTGGCTCCCTCCATCCTAAGGACCAGAAAAGACCTCTGGGCTCACATCCTTGACTCCTATGAATGTCTGACCATGCCCTCCATCAGTGTGGGCTGGGGAACAAGGGGACTGGGAGAAGCAGCACCTGTCCAAGGCCACACAGGGCTGGCTCAGTGGCAGAGGCACAGAGCCAGGTGGCGGAGTCCGACAGACCTTGAGGTGAGTCCCGGCTCTGCCACTCTCTAGCTGTGGGGCCTTGGGCATGTGACCTCACCTCTCTGAGCCTCAGTTTTCCCATCTGAAAAACATAAACAAGAAGTCTCTGCTACACAGTGGGGTCATGAGGATTAAATGAGACAGCTTGTGAAATGCTTGACCCAGGGCCCACAACACAGAAGAAACTCAGAAACAGGAACTATGATTTTGACACCCACAGCTAATCCCACAACCACTGCCCATCTCCTTCAATCCCAGCTAAATCTTCCCATCCCTGTTCTCCAGTCACAAGGGAAGTACTCCCAAGCCAAGCCTTACTCACTCACAAAAATGACCTGCCGGCCTCCTCTGACCACAACGGCCCCATTCACCCACCATGTCCTGCCCAGATGAATGCCTCCCAGATCACCTTTCTCCTCAGCACAAATTGCTACTAGACCTGTGGCATAAACTGTCTATTCGCACAGAGCCCACCTCATAACATGAGGGGTGGTGTTTAGAAAGAGGACAGAACCAGAGTGGAGTCATGTGTGTCTCATTCATTCTTTTATTCAACAGCCGTTTACTGAGTACCAGCAACAGGGAAGTGACATGAGCACCCCGCCACAGGAACTGAAAGACATATAACCCCTAGTTAGGGAGCACTTGCCATGGGCCTGACCCTACCCAAGTCTTTTCCCTATCTTGGGCCCCCAAGTCCTCACAGCACCTTCATTAACCCCATTTACAGAGGAGACCACAGTCCAACCTTGAGGAGAGCGCACAGAAGCCGTGCATTATCTGAACTGCTGCTCCATCACTGGCCCTGGATCACAGCACACGTGCAATTTCCTCTTGACTCCTCACCAAAATAATGTAATAATAGGTGACACCTCTATAGTACTTACTGCAGGCTGACACACACTTCACACCTACTGACCCTTTTGATCATCCCTGCAACCGTATAAGGCAGTGCTATTATCCCCTTTTTGCAGATGGGGAAACCAAGACACAGGGGATGAATCACCTGCTCAAGGCCACAAAAACAAGAAGTGGAAAAGCTGGAATTCCAACTGCCTGGCTGCAGAGCCCGAGCTCTTAACTACCCCTGTTTGCTGCCTCTCACAACCATACATAGAAATCTGTAATTAAAAGACATCCTGAGGGTGAAGAGAGAAAATTATAGAGAATGAGGTGTAATTTAGATTGAAATGATCACAGAGGACCTCTCCAGGAAATGACATTAGAAGTGAAATGTGAATGTGGACAAGTAGGTTGAGACAGAAAAACAGGAGGAGAGAAGAGTAGCATTCCCAGAAGAGAGGACAGCACGAGACAATCCAGAGGCAGCAAACAACTTGGGACATGCACAGACTGAGCCAGTGTGGCTGGATCACAGTGGAGGAGAAGGGCACAAGGGGACAACTGGAGGCCCTGGCAGGGAGGAGTCTGGGATCTCCCGGGCTGACCACACCTCTCTGCGTTTCAGTGGTCTCCTTCGTGAGACACCCTCACCACAGCACCTGCTCTCTTGGGCCCACTGTGAGGATTACATGGCCGGATGCAGGTGAACAGCTGAGGCCAAGTACAGCAGGGTGACAGGGACAGAACCAGGGCACCAGTTGGGGAAGGATGAAGGTGGCTGACCCAGAATGGAAGGAGTAGACATGGAGAGAAGTAGATGGGCTGGCTCAGTGTGACAGAAAGGGCTGAGTCAGAAGAGCACCAAGCACACATGTGACCTGGGCCGGGGGGCTGGCTGAGCTTTTTCCTGTGGCCAGGAACACCAAGACTTTGTCAACAGGCCCTCTCTGCTTGGACAGTTGTAGGGAAATGCTCCCTGCCCCCAGGACAGAGGGTAGGGGTATGTCTTCCTATAGAAGAGAGCTTTTCCTGTTTCCTACACTCATGTGGGCCCAAGAACTCTCTGGTCCTCCAAACCCAAACAACACTGAGGGCAGAGGAAAATGGGAGGGACTTCCTCGTGAGGGATCAGGGAAGATATGAGGGACAGGCCCAGGGCCAGGAGAGCAGGTGAACAGCCTTGCATGCCAGTCCCTGTGCTAGGTGTGGCTTGGGGCCAGAGATAATTTCACTCAGGTCTTCTTCTCCTGGGAGTTCCTAGTAGGAGGGCTGGGGGCAAAGAGGGTCTGTGCTCCCCTGGTACGTAGTGGAGGGAGGCAGCCAGCTCCAATGGAAAGACCGCTGCCCTCCACTGCCACACAGGGCCAGGACCACCCTCCTCTGGACAACAGTAGGACCACTCCTCTCCTCCAGTCTCTTT